GATAGATAGATAGATAGATAGGTGGCTTGCTTGTGCTTGGTTGATGTTATGGTGTTGGCACAAAATCGATAAACAACGGTACATTTTGATGTTTTTATTAATAATAAACAATCTTTACACAACATGTACATTCTAAAAAAAAGTTTTAAAAGGGAATTGTCAGAATGCATGGATATCAACCAGCACTTTAGCTGGGTTTGAGGCACTTGAAAGGAGATTTAAAGGCAAATCTGGAAGCCATATTACAATAACATTAACAAAATAATAACATTTTGCATGTGTCATTTATTTATTTATTTATTTTTTGGAGTGTCATTTTTCACTGTTGAGTCGTGCATAGAGACCTGTGCTGCATAGTGAGTCCTTGCTCTGAAGGTATGACAGGTCTCGGATCATGCCCGGGAAGGAATATGAGTCCAAGGGTGGACGCAGTGGAAACACTGGCATCAGTCCGGATGTCATGTATGGAGACATAAAACCTGCCATGCCGCCGTTTGCGGAGGAATAGGCCAGCCGCAGGGGGCTGACACCGAGGCGAGGGTTGAGCCCGTACAGACTGTCTCCCCCGGCTGCCGTCGGTGGCATGTGAAGCGGGGAGAAGGCAGACTTGTTCCCCAGAGCACCGAGCGCTGCAGGCAACCCAACAGAAGGCCTGGGTGCGTGTGGGTGATTAGACAGAGAGTCAGAGTCAATTTTGTTCTCTTTGGAGCTCAGCGCCAGCTCAATGGATCTGACAATGTCGCCTTTGCACGTTCTCACCATAGACTCCAGGGTGTCTCGTTTTTGATGGGGGAAGATCCTGGCCATGATATCGGTGGGGTCCCGGTCCAGGCTCGGGAAGTCCTTGGGTTTCTCTGACTCGCTGCCTGACTCCGGATCCGAGGAGGAGAGCGACCTCGGTGGACTCTCAGTGTGATCAAACACCGGGGATGGACTCGCGCTGTCATCAGTGGATGAAGCGGAGTTGTCCTTGTTTGGAGACAGATCCTTCTTGTCATTTGGAGAGGGCAGCCGTACGGTGTGGGGTGCAAACAGGGGTCGACCCATGAATCCGTTATAAAAGTTGTACTTGCTCAATTTGTCATCTGAAATGTGGACAGAAGAAAAACAGGTGGTTTAAAATCAACAGCTTCTGTGCGTAAAATGCTCGAAACATAAATACATATTTATATCATATGTTATATGTTGTGGTAACTTGAATGTAGCCTAACTCAAAGAACATATAACATATAATTGTGAATTCAAATAATTAGTAATAAGCAATTGAATGAGGGAATTCCTTTCTTTTTAGACAGAGATTGGTCACAAATCATCTCCAAATTATTATTTTTAACGTACCATCTTTTTGGTTCTCTGCTCCAAAAACATCAAAACTGGGAGCTGCTGGAGTGCTGCCGGTAGCTGCTGGCACCCCGGGGCCTACGGGTGACCCCTGAGGGATCCCTGTTTCCCCACCGATCCCCGGGCCGGGGTACAAGAGCCGCAGCTCCCGGGCCTCNCCTGCTGCCTCCTCAGCGCCACCTGCGCGGCCATCACCCGCTGCCTCTCCGCTATCAGGGTGCACTTTGCGCACACGCAGTCTCTCCAGCGGCAGAAGCGCTTGTGGCCTTTTAGCGCGGAGACCACGCCATGGTTCCTGCATCTGGCGCACTTCGGGGTGCGGGGGTATCCCCTCTCCAGCGAGGGGTTGCAAGCCCGCAGGAAAAGAGGCGGAGGGCGCAGGAGGGAAGGGGGCACCTGCAGGCCACCGAGCGGGTTGGCAGTGTGCCCGGCCAGGCCAAGCGGTCTGATCCTGCTGTCCATTACCTGAGGGGATGCGAATACAAAGTTTTCAGGTCGTCCAGTACTTCAACTGATGTGGTCTTCTCTAAGTCGAAATCTCTACTGCCGCTGGCACTCTGAGCCAGCGCGCCTTAAGTGTCTCCACTCCAGGTGGTTTGACATGAAATACAACACCCTAGTCACACCCCTTTCCGCTCCAGCCTCTAAATACCATGTCATATCATGTTTATTTGCATCCCGAGTGAATAGTGGTCTAATCTGATGCAACTGAGCCTATATGCAGCTGTAGTTTGAGAAAATGTGAGGCCTGCCAAGACTAGAGTTTGCATTAACATTAATTACACTTTTAGAAATTGTGATCTGCGGGGAAATTCCACTGCAATTTGGATTTAAAGTTATGTTTCATATGCACCACGTGGTGAATTTGGTGTTAACAAGAAGCTTTTTTTTCAAAACAGAAAGAAAAACATGTTGCCTCAGGTCAGACCCCCTTTGGTTGCCCTACTGAGCAATGAATATTCACTATTAGGATGTCTTTAACACAACAATGGCCTTAATGGCCACAAAAGCAACAGGTAATTATCTACCTGGTTATTCTGGTGAACACATTACCTTGACAAAAGACCCATCTGTCAACAAACACCCAGCAAGATTGGTGGATAACTAATCACACCTTGTCACATGTGTCATTCATTTCTGTCCATTCAAACAGGATCCAGTTACAGGCAGCAGCTTGCCTTACCGTTATTACACGGAACAACTTGAGCATAATGTGACAAACACAGTGGCAGTCACCAAGGGTGACACATCACTAAAACATTGTCAGCCATACATTTGTATGTATGCACACTGTCTTCCTGAACATTTTTTTATTCACTGCAAATGTCTATGTACTTGTCATTAGGAAAAAATGGTAACTACAATGTTAATAATGATAGTATCTTCGACTATTATTAGACTTCTCCTAATCATCTTTAGATGTGAAAGTGAGACATCTTAGTGGCTTCTCTTGGTCCCCCCGTATTTCTGCCTCCACTAGACTATCCCTGAATAATGGATGTGGGTTAAAGAGGCAGTGGATGGAAGCACTCAACCCCCTTGTGGTGTTTCACAGAGATAATGAATCCCTGAAGGGCATCTACGAGGAAGAGTTTGCAACAGGAGAGGCCAGAAAAATTGCTTATGGTATAATACACAATGATTTGATGCAGACATCGCTGTTATTAGTCATTAATATTACTACTTACACATACAGACTGGTAGGCGTTTCAACTTGCTGAGAAAAGAAGATAACTGTTTTTGATACCAGAAGGTATGAGTGACACCCCTTCCTCGCACAGATGCCTGCTCCATCATTCCTTAAGTGATGGATCTTATCAGCAGCATACCTGCCCACCTGCCCCATTACAAGCACGCATGTGCGAAAGGCAAACATATATTGTGCAAAAACACAAAATCTGTGTGTGCACAGGCATTTGTGGTAACAAAAGCCTCCAGATAATGACTTTGGACTTTGCAGAAAGATGTTCCACAAGTTATGAGCCTTGATAGATAGGGGTTGGTACAGACTCACTCCAGCTCTGAAATGCATCTATCAACAAAGAATGTGAAAAAAACATAAATAGATGCCAGTGATGGTGAAGCTGTGCGGACGCACATGCAGCCTTTATCATTTCATCCACTGTGAAGTGGAATTTGAGGTTTGGATGTGTGGCTGGCAAGTTTATCCAGGCACATTAATCTGCTCTCACCTGGCTTTTTATACAGACCACTTACGTGGTTTATATGGACCAGATGCAGCATTTTCTTGCAGGAAAGGCGGCTGGAAATAGCATGGAGTTGAAAAGCTATGTGTAAATGTCTGTGCCACTATGTGAGCTCTTAGAAAGGTTCTGTTTCAGTCTTATTTCTAATTACTCAGAGGAGGAAAATGGGACAAAAATATCTGCTTTGGAAAAGCCTCTATAAATTGGATTATGGATAAAAGCTGCAGTGTTATATTTACTCATTTACTGCCTCTCCTGTTTGTGTCTGGATCATATGATTACTTCCAGGCCTGGCTTGTTTAAAGAGTCTTTAAACCTGATCAGTTTCACCTTGAGATAAGGTCATTTCTCAATTGGTTTGAGTCATCCTACCATTTGATCATTATCGAATATACAGATGAACTAGTATACACTACTGTTATCTCTACTTCATAGAAAACCTCCAGTTTGCACGGATGATCTGATATTAGTCAGAATTTTCCAACCTCACCCCCAACACAGAACGAAGGGATTAGCAGGGACAAGTGCAGTTAGGGTAGATACGGCTAGACAGTGTCTTAATTGTGTTCTTAACAGATCTGCTCATGTCAGATATGGCGTTTAATCACAGCCATGTGGCTCCTAGGACAGGGCTTTATCAGTGCAGCTTCTTATCTGAAGCAAGGTGGCTGCTAATCTACTCCCAAATCTCACAAAACCTGATTATGTCTCCCACTGTCAGAGAGATGGAGAGAAGGAGGGAGGGTGAGGAGAAGGAGGAGGAGGAGGAGAGCTAAGGAGGTATGGGGCAGTGGAAGAGAAGCCCACAGAAGCCTTTAAACAGTAAATCACGGCATCTGGACGTCTAACCCTTTCTTTTATAGTGTCATATAGTATTCAGATTTCATGTGATAATAAACTATCAGATTGTTAATCCAAACAGTTATATGTGCTATATCCTTGCCCTGCAGCTGCAAGTCTTCTGATGCACACAGGCTGAAGATCAGATTCTGTTATTGTTGCCAACTCTGACACTAAAGAATCCCATGACAAGACGCTGAGTGTCAAGGCATTGTTTCTGAAAATAGAGCACTCAAGTTACAACAAATTTCCCTCTCTTTCAGCATGCGAAGCATCTTGACCTTTGTGTGTTTACTTTCTCATCTGTCACTTCACACCCTTGTCATTTAAGTGCCACACAGTTGCTTCCACTTCACTGCTGACGGACGGATGGCCACCAGTGATGGTCATCGGGTTGGTTGTGTTGCTGCTGTAATGAACAGATTCAATCATTTCCCTTTATCTGAATGCTAGCCTCTGCTGCACTTTCATGCCACTGACACTTTGTTGTATTAAAGCTTTGTGGAGAGAAAAAACAACAACACAGAATAAACTGATTTGTGCTCCATGTGACGCATGTGGCCTCAGTGGAGTTTAACATCAACTTTGCTTTTAGTGGAGCTTTCAAGAACGTTTCCTCTGTTTTTATTTTTGTGCCAGGGGATGTTGACTGTTGCTGTGCTGTCGGACTAGGTGTCTCTGTTTATAACGCCTGGAGCATAAGTTACGCCTTTGCCAGCATCCTACGGAAATATTCTCACACATCTTTCTCTGGAGATCAGATTAGTAGCTTGCTTTGAAACAAACGTAAATATAGAGTTTCGTTCCAAGATAAATGTGACATTCGGTCTTTAAATATCATTGATAACACCAGAGTAATAATGTCACTCAGTGACTTATATGGCTAATTGTGTTAGTGTTTCTATTGTGTGCAACTTTATTCTACATTTTAGAGTGAAATATTGTACTTTTCATTATATTTGACAGCTATTAGTTACTTCACTGATTGTGTTTTTTATATGTAAAACATATGTATAATTCCTATTAATAATATAATGCTCTACATTAAACTAACAAAAAATTACAAAAAAGTAGACAGAATTATGAGTAATTAGTAAGGAATGAGTGAGGAATTAATCAGGGACAACCTAATAATTAATGATCCATTCATAAGTAGTTACAGAATAGCTCTGAATTGAGGATTATAGAGCAGAAAATGAAAAGTTACTGGGGAATAAACATTCAGCTTTTCCTTTTGCTAACTTTACATAGAATTATCATAATGCTTTTCTGCTCTTTCCTTTAAATGTGGAGGGATGTAAATTCAGCTAATAACTGGAGCTGGCCTTTTCTATTCCATAAAGATAGCTGCGATATTATATTACAACCCATGCACAGAAGAAGGGCAGCAACCATTTTACACTCATACACACACCTGTGCATTTGAATGCATGGGACAATAGATTTTCCTCCTATTTCTTGGATTATATCTTCTGCCATCTTCTTCTCCCCTATTCAATATTCCTCCATGTACTCTCTTTCTCCTCCTCTCACACCTTTATTGGTGGTCTGAGTCTGGTAGGTATCCATCAGGGCCCCTCACTTAGCCCAGTAATGCTTCAGTGCCAGTGAACAATGGTGGGCTAGAGACAGCCAAGTTTGCTCATGAGCACTGGGTATGGATGTGTGCGTGGGTGTGGGTGGGTGGGTTGTGTGTGCACCCATGAGTGCTTGTTTTAATCATGCATATTACAACTGCATCAACACGGTTGCTGCATCAATAAGGAAATGCAGGTTTACTTTTACATACTGGCTCATTGTGTGTGTGTGTGTGTGTGTGTGTGTGTGTTTGTGTGTGCATTTAAGTGTTTTAAGTGCTAATAAGAGTGTGTGTGTGTGTGTGTGTGTGTGTGGTGGTGTGTGTGGGTATAAAGCATTAGTACCTTGAAAGGTTCTGGTCAGGTGCCAGTGAATGCAACCTTCACCATATAAACAAGCTAAGATTGAACCCAGAGAGTTCCTTGTTCTGCACTTAGTCTGGCTACACTCTCTATTTGTTTCCTGTCAATGACGCTTCTTTATTTAACGATACACTTGCAAGGAGAGCTTCGCAGCTCAACAATGCATAACTTAGTGGCAGATAAGCACAGCCGTCTGTGAAGGATTCGAGGAATTGAGTTTCTAAGTGTGTGTTTTCTTCATAAAAATGTGACACTTGACAGGCATTAACAAGGAAATGGATTTGCTAATGATAGACATAATGTGGGAAAGAACTCTCTGTTCCTCCTTTGTAAATAAACACACTCTACACTGAGGTTTGAGTGAAATGTCAGAGGTGATAGAAAGGTAAGATATATTTTTTTCATAATTAATTATGAGTTCCATTATGATGTTTTGTATAACCTTCAAATTAGCTAATTCAAATTAAATGCAATTATTTGGATTGTGACTGAGCACAAAACCCCAAGGAAATGGTGATTCTCCTTCTCATATA